CTTTCTCTCGGCTGTGTCGTTGAGGCTGACACATCACACCGGTCGATCGACAGCGACACTCTTTGACCGATCGGGTCCTGAATCTTCGCTTGTCAGGTCGTGTCCTGCGTGAATTACGCGACTTGATCGACGAAAAACCCCTCAAGACTTGCTTGAGGTTTACGCTTGGCAGCGACCCAGCCGGCCACCGCGAATCGCTTCGAAACTATCTTCCTCAACTGTGGCGACCGGCGGCTGCTGACGTGCTTCTTCTTAAGGTGCCCAGTGCGTCCTCACGACGCTCCGCTCCGTCATCGCGTCACGAGTCATCGCGACGGCTGACTGAGGCGATGGCCGTCGCATTCGCATTCGTCTCCTCGTCAGCGTCCTCGATGTCGTCGCCGTCGTCGTCATCGCGCCTTTCAGTTCGATCCCGCTTCTATAGTCGTGTTCGAGGACGAGTGATCGGTTTGTCAGACGTGTCAAGCGTCTGCCCGCGTCTGCACCTAGCAAGACAGTCGCAGCCAACCGCGCGCAACGGTTGGTTCGCGCGTGGTTTTACCTCACTTTGAGTCGACTAGACCAGTAGGCAGCTAGTTGCGCGTCGATCGATTCTGGTGCGTTTCGTGAGGTGCGTTCGCACGGTGTGAATTCGCCGTAATCACGAAAGTCACAGGCTGCTTAATATCCGCAGAAATGTGTTACGGTACACTAATGGATTCCTGTGGGCTTCTTATGAACCATCTCACTCAGCTATCAGTTTAAAGATCTCGATTCTTCGCAGACGATAACAGCGTCTATTGCGCAGCATTAATGATAGCAGACAGATAGCTCTGATACTTTTCAGTTATCGTACCGAAAATGAAAATATTTCCTGATAATCTGTTATCTCCCTAAATCTGATGGTAACAACCTCGGAAATTCTGCGATTTGTATCCCCAGATGCATACCGAAACAGATTCGGCACTTAGAACAAGAACTGATGACAGATCGACAGGTGGTTGGCAGATTCATGGTTCACGGCACCAAACAGCAGATGGTAAAACCTCTATTGCCAGCGCGTTTCACTACACAGACCGCAGGATCAACAGCGCTGACTGTTCTGCTTGAAGTCCCTTATATCCAACAAGCGAACAGTTCTATTGTTTGCTGATTGAAAAATACGTAAAAACAGAGCGATTGACAACGCTTGATTATCATAAAGCCAGAATGTTAAATAAAATGCCATATTAAGTTCACATTCGAAATCAAAATGCAATCGGATCTTTGTTATGTTGATCTGATCTTGCGTATCAAATTCGTTATTGCTCCCCATGTCACCAATCGTTTCACCAATCTCACCACTGCGTCAAATCATGATTGCGCTCCATCTCACCAGTAAGCTCGGAGAATGTGTATTCACTGCACATTAGCGATTTCATTGCCAGTATTTCATTTGTCTCTAGAAACTACAGACCTAGAATCGAAAGCCTCAGGCCTTATTTATTAACTGATAAAAATATTCAAAATTGTAAGGGATGATGACATGAGATGATATGATTCCGTTTGAATATATCATAAATATTAATGGCCAGTTATAAGAGAAACAAGAAGTTACCCATGGTACGTGTGCCTTCCATATAGTAGTTTGTCATTTAACGAAAAATCAGCGTTTAGTTTTGAGTACGATAACCGAAAAGTACCCAAACTTCTACAAAACTAGGTTTCACGGCTTTTTGCTTCTCCCTTGCTCCTACGGTTGCACCGGGATCCATTTAATTAGGCCATGTTTCCACGGTGTTTTTGAGTGTCTAAGTGGATCTCGCATTCGTTTGTTCGCTGGAACAATCCCTTGCGCATGAACAATGTTTTAGGAGCCGGTACTCCTTAAACGCTACGCCTAAGCATTTATGGTACAGCATATAATCGAGAAAGCAAAGCATCGAAACCACATCCTCGCTTTAGTTAGTTTCGCTGCTACACTGGAATTGCACGGACACGTGCCCGAAAACCCTTTTTATATCCACTTCTCTGCCACTCTGAGCGACTGGGCAGCAGCAAAGTAAAACGTACTTGGTTTGACCGGGCAAAGTACTATCGAAAGCATTCTCTTAAACCTTAAAGACCTGCTGTGAATCCTTTGAGATAGTTGGTCCACTAGTCTCTAATCCAAGTTACTTTTGCTTTTCTCTTATTTATCCAAACTTACACCCAAAAACGAAAGTTATAACGTACGCACTCCGATGATTTTTCAAGCTGACGTTGGGAATATGAAAATAATAGAAATGAGTCATGAAAAACGCACAGCCGAATTACATTGCTACTAAACTTCGAGAAAATGGGCCAACAATGTGTCTCGAATGAGACAATCGTTAAACGTCAAGAATTACATACTTGGTTCGGCTGAACCACAGATGTCGACTCGACTGTATAAGAGCATGCTGGGACAATCCGATAGTCAAATTACTTGGCCAGCGACTGAGTCACAAAATAGAGAACGATGAACTGTCGGATTGGAAACAGTATACTGGAGGAGCGTTAGCTTGCGCTCGTGTCGCATCCCCGTTCCACTAGTCATATAATGGAACTAGAGCTTTACTTTACGAGCAATTCTACATCAGGAAGTGTTTCGTTTGCCATGGAAATGTACTGCGTAATTCAGTAGGTTTCAATCTCTGCGAATGAAAAATGCTATCCTCCATCCACAGCCATGACCAGTGATACGAAGAAAAAAAGGTACAAATTTTGACAACAGTACTAAACTTGTCTCTAAGGTGTTGACCGTCCAAGTGACACGAAGAAATTTTTTCGGGAACTAAAACAAACGGTTCATAATCGTTCCTATCGGATTTTAGTCATATTGTTCTAATCCTAGTCGACATTGACTTTAAAAGATAAAGGGGTTTTCTTGCGAATTCGACCGGCAGAAGGCCCAGGTGACGGCCAAGATTAACCTGGTGCAAATATAAGGAAGGAGTCTGTTCCATATTCCATTTGTCTTTTGCCGAAGCTCAGACTCTGGTACAGGATCGGGAACGTTGGAAGCTTTGTCTGACGCGTCTGCCTCCGCGACCCGAAAGGAGAAGTGGCGATGGAAGATGGTGAAGAGGAAGATAAAGGGGTTTTGCCAGCTGCGGATCCTCTTGCCTTTCTAGCCTAGCAATTTAAGTTAATGACGGGCTTTCACAGCAAACGCAGCGGCTCGAAAGGAGAGAGCGCGCACCACATCGTGCTTCACCCTGTTTTGCGATTCTCTCATTTGGTCGTGACCTTTTCTTCGCAATGTGGGCATCGCAATTGTATTTTGGAATGCATTTAGCTTATATATAATGGAATTTCTTGAATGACGAAACTGGCTTATAGTAATGTCTAAAAAAGTTTCTCAGTTCGACTTCTAACCCAAATACATCAGAAATGTTTTATTAACAGGGAAAACTGGAGAAACAAAAATTAAGTTTCTTCAGTCAGAGAGTCTAAAAATTAGAATATGGCGCATAATTTAGTACGTGCTAAAAATGATGTTGAAGGATGGAGCCAAACGCGTCTCGCTTGCATTTAAATAGTCGTGTAAGTGGTCCTGAGTGATGTCTAACAAAACTGATGACTCCTTCTCACACAAGCACACCTCGGTCTGTGGGCATCAAAACTTGCCCACACTTCTGGCCTTCCAGTTTTATTGTCCTCGCAGAGATTTGCTGCAGATTATCCGTACGCCTGCAAGGGATGCAGGACATCCGCCACCTAATAACCTTTGCTCTAACAGGCGTCCGCCGTTTTCCAGATAACGGTAGATATCGCAGTAGACAAGGCCAGGAACAGTGACCCTATTCAACTTCGATGGAAAGCTAACTGGACGATTTTCAGCGTTGTCCACTGACTGATGTGAAGGCAAAACGACGGAGTCGACTAAAGAAATGTTTTGCTAGCTAGCAGAGGAAACGATGCTTGAATCCACTTACCTCTCTAAATGATAAGGATGAAATGAACCGAACGGTAGTATTTAATCATTAACAATACGACCATTTTAGGAATTGCTAAATTTAGACTTGAGGATGAAGCAAGTACTGTACTGCTATGAACGCAGTCGCCATAAGCAAAGCTACTGGGGCGAAAAGCGTAATTGAATAATGACCAGGAACTGAGCCGTTAGTGTCGCTTGTGTGCAACGACGACCGTGTATGGAGTACTCTCATTGGAGGCTCCGCGGAGGTCGCAGTTAGAGGAGGTAAACGTCG